CCATGATGGCCAGGCTGGTCTTGAACTCCTGACCGCAGGTGATCCACCCACCTCGGCCTCCCAAAGTACTAGGATTACAGGCGTGAGCCACAACACCCGGCTATTTTTTTATTTTAAAAATTTTTTTTGAGATGGAGTCTCGCTCTGTTGCCCAGGCTGGAGTGCAATGGTGAGATCTCAGCTCACGACAACCTCCACCTCCAGGGTTCAAGTGATTCTCCCTGCCTCAGCCTCCCAAGTAGCTGGAATTACAGGTGCTCACCACAATGCCTAGTTAAGCTTTTTGTATTTTAGTAGAGACGGGGTTTCACCATGTTGGCCAGGCTCATCTCAAACTTCTGATCTCAGATGATCCGCCTGCCTCGGCCTCCCAAAATGCTGGGATTACAGACATAAGCCACTGTACCCAGCCTCTATTTGCATTTTTAAATATACACACACATACTCGTATCTGGAAAAGGACTGGAATAATATATACACCAAAAGGGTTAACAATGGTTCCCTCTGGATACAAGATTATGTGTCACTTTCCCTCTCTCTTTTTTGTTAGTTTATATTTTCTAATTTTTCTAAAATTAAAATATATAATTTTTATACTATTGAGAAAGTAGTTTTTGTATTTTTTTTTCTTTGAGACAGACTCTCACTCTGTTGCCCAGGCTAGAGTACAATGGCATGATCTCGGCTCACCGCAACCTCTGCCTCCTGGGTTCAAGCGATTCCCCTGCCTCAGCCTCCTGAGTAGCTGGGACTACAGGCATGCGCCACCACACGTGGCTAATTTTTATATTTTTAGTAGAGATGAGGTTTCACCATGTTGGCCACGCTGGTCTCAAACTCCTGACCTCAAGTGATCCACCCACCTTGGCCTCCCAAAGTGCCGGGATTACAGGCATGAGCCACTGCGCCCCACCAGAAAGTAGTATATTTAATTCTCAAAAGGAAGCCTCAAAAGGTTGCACTGTTAGCCTGAGGCAAGATTGAGTCTAGCCCCAGACTCCATCACCTAGAAAGCCAGGGTGGGGTGAAGGCAGACAGAGCTGGGATGTCTAGGCCAGCAGAACCCCTGGGACAGGAAAGGAAGTCAGAAAATCTGATAGCAGCACCGTCAGCCCCCGTGGCTGGATGCCACTTCACCCTGAGGCCATTAGCCCGCAAGCCCCAGTCTCCCCACTTCCCTCCATAGTTCTTGGGAAACTGGGCCCCTGGCTGGCTCCTTCCCTGGTTGGTATGTGTAGAACATTAGAGAGACACCCCCAACTGGGAAACCTCTCTTATTAATTGCAATTATACAAAACTAATCCATTTTTTGATGTCTCTCTTTTCTCCCCAGCCATCAGGGGCTTTGCTTCTAGCTACCCACGGGTCTCCTCTTCCTCCTCACTGTGTCTGCATGACACCTTCAGAGCTGCTGGGAAAGAGGCCCAGAGGCACAGTGCCCTGAGCCAGGAGCAGTAGCTGTGCCCTGGCGCCCAGTCAGGACCGCAGACAGCTGCACACGGCACGCTTCCGGACCGTGTATTAATTTTTAATGGCAGCAGCAATGCAGGAATGCATTAGTGTAAAAAATTAAAATGTTGCTGATAAGGATAGTTCCCTTCAACTCCCATCCCTTCAATCTGAGAGCTAACCTCTGTCATTAGTCTGATACTCATCCTTCCAGACCTTTTCCTCTCCACCTATTAGTATTTTTTTTCCCCCATTTCTTCTTTTAGGTGTGAAATTACACATATTTTTAAGTAAATAAATTCACACTGTGTGTGAGCTACTGCAATTTGTTTTTTCTCATTCAGTAATGTGTCTTCTAGACCCTTCCAGGCCATTTATATGGATCTGCCACATTCCTTCACTGAGCAAAATATTCAGAAACAAATCCACAGAACACACCTATAAAATGAGTTCTATTTTTGTGATCATTTTCAAATGAAGAAACCAAGGAACAGAGAGGTTAAATAACTTACCCAAGGTCACACAGCCAATAAGTAGAAAAGCCAGGATTTGAACCCAGGCATTGGCTCCAGAGCTCATACTCGTAACTATTCCAACTACTGCCACCCAGTTAGGTAAGGAAGTATCCATGAAGCACTTAGAACAGTGTCTGGCACAGAACAGCCACCATGTATGCATTTGTTAAATAAAAATCAAGTAGTTAACTCCATATGATTGATATACCATACTTTATTTAGTCACTCTCCATTGCCAGATATTTGGGTTATTTCTCATTTTTTTTATTTTTATTTTTTTTTTTAATTTTTTTTTTTTTTGAGACGGAGTTTTGCTCTTGTTACCCAGGCTGGAGTGCAATGGCACGATCTTGGCTCACCGCAACCTCCGCCTCCTGGGTTCAGGCAATTCTCCTGCCTCAGCCTCCTGAGTAGCTGGGATTACAGGCACATGCCACCATGCCCAGCTAATGTTTTGTATTTTTAGTAGAGACGGGGTTTCACCATGTTGACCAGGATGGTCTCGATCTCTTGACCTCGTGATCCACCCGCCTCAGCCTCCCAAAGTGCTGGGATTATAGGCGTGAGCCACCGCGCCCGGCTTAAATTATTTTTTTTAAGGCAGAGTCTCGATCTAACGCCAAGGCTGGAATGCAGTGATGTAATCTTGACTCATTGTAACCTCTGCCTCCCAGGCTCAAGCGATTCCTTGCCTCAGCCTTCCCAGTAGGTGGGATTACGGGCTACTAGCAAGCACCACGCCTAGCTAATGTTTGTATTTTTAGTAGAGACGGGGTTTCACCATGTTGGCCAGGCTGGTCACAAACCCCTGACCTCAAGTGATGCACCCGCCTCAGCCTCCCAAAGTGCTCGGATTACAGGCATGAGCCACCACACCCAGCCCTCATTTTTAAAATCAGATTAAAAACCAGATTTTTTTCAGTATTTCTATGGTGCTACAGTCAACATCCTTCCTCTTTGGGCATGTGTTTGCGAAGCTGATCTGCTGGTATTTAGAATGTGTGCATTTTTAATCTGAAAGATCCCGCTATGTACCAAATAATTCTGTCTTATGAACCCCTCTTGCCCCTTTCTCTGAGTGATGGGTGGTGGGAGGGGAGCTGCCACTCATCCCTCAGAGAAAAGGACAAGTGTGCTTGGATGGTGCTCTCAAAGCCCTCCAAGCTCCATCTCCATTCTGACTATGCACCTACCCATCAGATGAGGCCTCTGTGCCTCAATTTCCCCATATGAAAAATGAAATAAAATAAAAAATAAGCGTAATGCACATGAGGGTATCACTTCTTGAGTTTTTGTTTTGATTAGATATGCTTGGCTGTACAGTGCATTATAGCTAAGATGGTTCAGAAACCCTGGCATCAAGAGTGTGCCTCCTGGACTCCAGGTCCTGATTCCCAACACGACAGAGAGTGAGAGCCTAGGGTCTGCTGGCCCGTGCTGGGTTGGAGCCTCCATCTCCGTTTACAGGTGTGACAACTCAGGCAGCTCATGCCACTCTCTCTGTGCTGCCATTTTTCTCAGCCACACAATGGTGATGAAAACAGTGTGTATACACACAAGAGACAGTATTCCCCTTAAAGATGAAGGAAGCTCCAACACATGCTACAACATGGAGGAACCTTGAGGACGTTATGCTCACAGAAATAAGCCAGATGCAAAAGGATAAATGCCGTATGATTCCACTTACATGAGATACGTAGAACGGTCAAATTCGTAAAGACAGAAAGTAGAAGAGTGGTTATGGGGGCTGGGGAAAGGCAGATGAGGGAATCAGTGGTTAACGGGTACAGCATTTCAGATGGAAAGGAAAAAGTTTAAGAGACGGGTGGTGGGGATGACTGCACAAAAATGTGAATTACTTCATGCCACAGAACTGTGCACATAAAAAATAGTTACAGTGGGAACTTTATGTTATATATATTTCACCACAATAAGAAAATGGTGCTGGGCACGGTAATCCTAGCACTGTGGGAGGCGGAGGTGGGTGGATCACAAGGTCAGGAGATGGAGACCTTCCTGGCCAACATGGTGAAATCCAACATGGTGAAATCCGGTCTCTATTAAAATAAAAAAAAAAATCAGCCGGGCGTGGTGGCACATGCCTGTAGTAGCTGAGTCTTGTTGTTCTGCCGCCCAGGCTGGAGTGCAATGGTGCAATCTCAGCTCACTGCAACCTCTGCCTCAGCGTCCCCAATACCTGGGATTACAGGCACACACCACCATGCCCAGCTAATTTTTATATTTTTAGTAAAGACGGAGTTTCACCATGTTGGCCAGGCTGGTCTCGAACTCCTGACCTCAAGCGATCTGCCCACCTCAGCCTCCCAAAGTGCTGGGATGACAGGCATGAGCCACTGCTTCTGGCCCTGGACAAAATCTTAATGCGTCTTTGGTGCTACTCTTATTATTGTCCTGAGCTCTCTGGTTGACCTGCTGAGCTGATCAGAGTTCTCCCATAAATCTAGGAAGCTGTATTCTGCTTTACGCCAGTCTTGGAAGCTTGGCTGATGAGAGTCTATCAGAAGGACAGAGCTCCTTACCACAAGCTGGTGAGTCTGTCTATGAAGTTGAGGCCAGGGGTTTGCAGAGAATCCACCGCCATCATGTCAGCCCCTGGTGACAGTGTACCCCTTCCTCACCACCATTACCAGCACCGGACTCCTCTCAGCCTCCTCCAGGCTGAATTCCAATCCTATGCCACCTTAAGTCTGAAGGATGATACTAGGATTTGAGTGCCCACCAGGTGCTAGACACCGTGCTGTGCATTTTACACACACGAGCTCATTTACTTCTCACCGTATTCCTCCATTTTCACCAATGGGGAAACCAAGCCTCAGAGAAGTTAGATGATCTTCTCAAGGTTACTCAGATGTGGGCCGGGCACAGTAGCTCACACTTGTAATCCCAGTACTTTGGGAGGCCAAGGCGGGTGGATCACCTGAGGTTGGGAGTTGGAGACCAGCCTGACCAACATGGAGAAACCCCATTTCTACTAAAAACACAAAATTAACCAGGCATGGTGGCACATTCCTGTAATCCCAGCTAATCAGGAGGCTGAGGCAGGACAATTGCTTGAACACGGGAGGCGGAGGTTGTGGTGAGCCAAGATTGCACCCCTGCACTCCAGCCTGGGCAACAAGAGCAAAACTCAGTCTCAAAAAAAAAAAAAAAGGTTATTCAGATGGGAAGCAGTAGAGACAGGGTTGCAAACCAGGAACCCATGACCCCAGAGCCTGTGTTTCCTGACGCTGGGATGGACACCGGGCCTCTCTATGCGGCCACATCTGGGCCTGCTCCCAAGCCCCTAAGGATATGTCCCTTCCCGGAGGCTTCCTGTGTGGGCACTGGCAGAGGCTACAAACTGGCTCCCTCCATCTGCAGAACAGACAGCTCTGCCCCAGCCTTATGCAAAGGCCCAGCCTCACTCACCCACTGCCAGCTCCAGGCAAAGGCCCCGATGACTCACTGGAGCTCTGGGCACTCTAAGAGCTCAGACCGGTAACTAGTCCCCACATCTAAGCTCTACCTCTTAGTTAAGCTAGTTTACAAAAAAACAAAAACAAAAACAAAAAAACCCATGCTAAAAAACACACAGATTGCTGGCCTACCTGTGTCTTAGCTTCCCATTTAAAAACGTTTATTCATTATACATACAATTTAAGCCCGGGTGGTTTGTTGTTGCTGGTGGTGAGATGGAGTCTCGCTCTGTCATCCAGGCTGGAGTGCAGTAGCATGATCTCAGCTCACTGCAACCTCCGCCTCCCAGGTTCAAGCAATTCTTCTGCCTCGGCCTCCTGAGTAACTGGGATTACAGGCGCCCGCCACCATGCCTGGCTAATTTTTGTACTTTTAGTAGAGACGGGGTTTCACCATGTTGGCCAGGCTGATCTCAAACTCCTGACCTCAGGTGATCCGCTCACCTCAGCCTCCTAGAGTGCTGGGATTGCAGGCGTGAGCCACCGCACCCAGCCTTGTTTGTTTTTACACACAGACACATAAATACACACACACACACACACACACACACACACACACATATTTAGAGATGGGGACTTGCTGTATTGCCCAGATGGGTCTCTAACTTCTGGACTTAAGTGATCATCCCACCTTGGCCTCCCAAAGTGCTAGGATTATAGACGTGAGCCACTGCACTGAGTGTGCTTGCTGTGTATGTGTGTGTGTGCTTGCTTTTTTTTTTTTTTTTTTAAAATAGAGATGGAGTCTCACTCTGTTGCCCAGACTAGAGTGCAGTGGTATGATCATAGCTCACTGGAGCCTTAATCTCCTGGGCTCAAGTGATCCTCCCACTTCATCCCGTCAAGTAGCTCAGTTTTGTTTTTTTGGTTTTTTTTTTTTTTAAGAGACAGGGTCTCACTGTGTTGCCCAGGCTGGTCTTGAACTCCTGGCCTCAAGCAATCCTCCCATGTCGACCTCCCAAAGTGCTAGGATTATAGAGATGAGCCACCACACCTGGACAACCCTAGGTGTTTTTACCCTAAAATTACAAGAAAGACTTTGTGATAAATGTCTCCATATTTTTATGAATTATCTATTAAAATGATAAACCATGATGTTCTTCAATGTCAACTAAAGTGGCCATGTGAGCAATTCCTTCTGAGATACTAATATTAGAAAATAAATGCATTTTGCCGGGCGTGGTGGCTCAAGCCTGTAATCCCAGCACTTTGGGAGGCCGAGGCGGGTGGATCACGAGGTAAAGAGATCGAGACCATCCTGGTCAACATGGTGAAACCCCGTCTCTACTAAAAATACAAAAAATTAGCTGGGCATGGTGGTGCGTGCCTGTAATCCCAGCTACTCAGGAGGCTGAGGCAGGAGAATTGCCTGAACCCAGGAGGCGGAGGTTGCGGTGAGCCGAGATCGCGCCATTGCACTCCAGCCTGGGTAACATGAGTGAAACTCTGTCTCAAAAAAAAAAAAAGAAAATAAACGCATTTCTTGCCGGGCACAGTGGCTCATGCCTATAATCCCAGCACTTTGAGAAGCTGAGGCAGGCAGATAAAGAGGTCAGGAGTTCGAGACCAACCTGGCCAAGATGGTGAAACCCTGTCTCTACTAAAAATACAAAAGTTAGCTGGTTGTGGAGGCAGGTGCCTGTAATCTCAGCTACTCAAGAGGCTGAGGCAGGAGAATCATTTGAACCCAGGAGGTGGAGGTTGCAGTGAGCTGAGATTGCACCATTGCTTTCCAGCCTGGGTGACAAGAGCAAAACTCCATTTCAAAAAAAAGAAATCATTTCTTATGATGTGCTGGTAAGCTTTCTTTCATCAGATGATAAAAACCCATTGTAATCCCCTGTTTACATAGCTGTCCAGAAATACACAGATCGTATTACTGCCCAAATGTTATAACTGGCCTTCAATGGTCATTACCTCTTTCTCCCTCTCTCCATAATATTATTCAACCTCTCTTTTAGTAGGAATATTCTGCCTGTGTCCCTTTATTGAATACTACTCTAAATTATCTTGTGAATATCAATCTAAAAAAACATGATAAATTTATTAAAAATTAAGTTGTTGAAATTCTCTATCATGTGCCCCCAGCTGCCCTAAACCTAAGATCCCTGGAAAAAGGAAGGCTGGCTGGGAGTTACCTGGAGATGGCCCCAGTAGAGGAGGGAAGCCCACTGGGCTGGCCACGAGCCTGGCAGGGCAGCCTTACCTTGTCAATGCTCATCTGCCTGCAGGGAAATGAGAACGTGAAGCCCAAAGGTAGGGGGGCTCCCTTGAGGCCCATGTAGTCCAGGAAGTCGGCAATGCACTGCACAATGTGGTCAAAGAGCTGCAGAGAGAGAGTGGCATTCACACCGGGTGGGCACTGACACAGCGTGGCAGGGTGGCACTGCAGAGAGCAAAGCCCTCACTTGGCACTTACCTCCTCGCCAGTGCCCTGCATGATCCCCAGGGGGATGGCGAAGATCTTGTTGTACATTCGTACTGACCTCCGTCCACTTCTGATCTTCACCAGGAGGACACGGAAGTTGGTTCCCCCAAGATCTAGGGCGAGGAACTTTCCTTTCTCTGTAGTGGAGAAAGTAGCAGTTGCACTCCATGACAGGGACTCGTGTCGGGGCATTGGGAGGAAGAGGAGATGCTGGAGCAGAGCAGACCCAGGGCCTGCACTCCTGGGCTTCACAGACCAGAAGGTCACGGCAGCCACCATGCACAGCGCCGCCCGGGCCCTGGGCAGGCATTGTGAGCCTGCGTGAGGCCTGGCTGCGTCCCTTGGCCTCCACTTCTGCAGGAAAGGCCCAGGCACCACCTATGCTGTCACCAGGGAAGTGCCGGGAAAAGAGTCCTGGCCTGGAGTCAAGGGACCTGGGGCTTCTGATAAATGACTTTTTATCTTGAGCAAGAGGGGCAAGGTCCCATCCTTCCACATCTGCAAAGTAAGGGGAGTAGACCTCTGAAGGCTCTTTCAGCTTCACTGACTGACAGCCCTCTCTGGAGCCCAAGGAACGGTGCAGGCATCCAGTCAAGGACATGCATGTTTCTCAAACCCAAAGGGCCTTGTGGCGGGGCTGGGGGAGGGAAGAATCCAGGCAAGGCTGCCCTCAGGGCAAGGAACTCTGGCAGGTGTTTTTGTCCTGTCTCTGTGGCCTAAGGAACTGTTTGTTACCAGCGTTAAATAATTCTTCCTATTCTCTACCTCCTTCCCCAGATCCCCAAACCTCCACCAAGCTAACAAGGAACCTGTCAAGTCCTACCTCATGGTACCGTGTGGTCACCCAAGTGCACTGCCTGTCACTCCTCTGACACCTCGTGGCATCCAAATCTGGTCTGTAGAACCGTTCACTGCCCCTCTGTCTCACTCACTATGTTCTGGCCACACTGGTCTTTTTGCTCTGCCTTGAATTTGCCAAAGACGCCACTCCCAGCCATCTCTCCGACTCCCTATCTGCTTATTTTTCTCCAGAGCACCTGTCATCACCTGGCACAGTGTGGCATTCGTTTGTTCACTGTCTGCCAGCCCAGCAGACTGTGAGCTCCTCGCAGGCATGGACTGTGTCTCACTGCACTATCACTGTGATGGACGGAACCTGACATGGAGTAGGTGCTCAATGAAAGTTTGAGGAATAAAGGCAGAGGATTAAATGGATAGAAGAATAAATAGGTCAGGAGTGGTGGCTCACACCTGTAATCCCAGCACTTTGGGAGGCCGAGGCGGGAAGATCACCTGAGGTCAGGAGTTTGAGGCCAGGATGCCCAACATGGTGAAACCCTGTCTCTACTAAAAATACAAAAAAGCAGCTGGGCATGGTAGTGGGCACCTGTAATCCCAGCTACTCGGGAGGCTGAGGCAGGAGAATCACTTGAACTTGGGAGGCGGAGGTGGTAGTGAGCCGAGATTGTGCCACTGCACTCTGGCCTGGGAGACAAGAATGAAACTCTGTCTCAAAAAAATAAATAAGGGCTGGGTGCAGTGGCTTACGCCTGTAATCCCAGCACTTTGGGAGGCCGAGGCGGGTGGATCACGAGGTCAAGAGTTCGAGACCATTCTCGCCATGATGAAACCCCGTCTCTAATAAAAATACAAAAATTAGCCGGGTGTGGTGGCATGCACCTGTAGTCCCAGCTACTTGGGAGGCTGAGGCGGAAGAATCGCTTGAACCCAGGAGGCGGAGGTTGCAGTGAGCCGAGATTGTGCCACTGTACTCTAGCCTGGTAACAGAGCAAGACTCCGTCTCAAAAAATAAAATAAATAAATACATACATAAATAATTTTTTTTTGCTTTTTAGAGATGAAATCTCACTCTGTCACCCAGGCTGGAGTGCAGTGGCACAATTTCAGCTTGCTACCACCTCCACCTCCCAGGTCAAGTGATTCTCCTGCCTCAGCCTCCCAAGCAGCTGGGACTACAGGTGCCCGCCACCCTGCCTGGCTAATTTATTTTTAGTAGATACAGAGTTTCACCATATCGCCTAGTCACAAATTCCTGGCCTCAAGTGATCCTCCCACCTCGGCCTCCCAAAGTGCTGGGATTACAGGCATGAGCCACTGCGCTCAGCCAAGAATGAATAATTTAACAGTGTCTATTACTGCTTTCAGTTAAGAGATCCCAAGTACAGCTGTCGGACCTTGAGTAGATCTAACATCTGTAAGTCTCAGTTATAGCATCCGTAAGATGGGAACCATTCCCTCTTTGGTAACATTCCAAGTGGGCATGAAATGAAATGAAACGTTCAAAAGTAAATTATAAGATGTAAAGCATTTTACTAAGGTCATTATTTCTGGAAGAGGCTTGTCAGAGTCAAAAAGGTAAAATAATTTGTCTGAAGAACTGACTTCACAACTTAGTGGCTTCTCTTGGCTGAGCACTGAGGACCAGAAGGATCTAGGGTTGGAGAAGTTGGGGGCAGAAAGGGAGCGGGAAAGGGAAGCGAGCCAAGCCACGAAAGAGAGCAGAGCCAGAGCAGGAGCAGGAAGACAAGCCCAGGCAATCCCAGGTGTCTGAAACAAAGCTCCTGGGGACCGAATCTGGGGGCAGAGTCGGGGGGTTGCTCAAAGCATGGGGTACGTTCATGTTCTCATCTACACACACATAAATGCACACACATAACCTAATGTAGGTTTTTTGTTCTGTGTTTTTAACTGCAAATGCCTCGAGTTAACTAAGGCCAGTCGGGCACTGTGTCTCACACCTGTAATCCCAGCACTTTGGGAGGCTGAGGTGGGCAGATCATGAGGTTAGGAGTTCAAGACCAGCCTGGTCAATATGGTGAAACCCCATCTCTACTAATAATACAAAAATTAGCTGGGCATGGTGGCATGCACCTGCAGTCCCAGCTACTCAGGAGGCTGAGGCAGAATTGCTTGAACCCAGGAGGCGGAGGTTGCAGTGAGCCATGATCGCGCCACTATACTGCAGCCTGGGTGACAGAGCGAGACTCCGTCTTAAAGGAATACTAGCCCTTAAATACTACTCTTTCCATTAGAGACATGAATCCAAGTCTCTAAAAACCAAGAACCTCAGGCCGGGCGCGGTGGCTCAAGCCTGTAATCCCAGCACTTTGGGAGGCCGAGGCGGGTGGATCACGAGGTCAAGAGATCGAGACCATCCTGGTCAACATGGTGAAACCCCGTCTCTACTAAAAATACAAAAAATCAGCTGGGCATGGTGGTGCGTGCCTGTAATCCCAGCGACTCAGGAGGCTGGGGCAGGAGGATTGCCTGAACCCGGGAGGCGGAGGTTGCGGTGAGCTGAGATCGCGCCATTGCACTCCAGCCTGGGTAACAAGAGCGAAACTCCGTCTCCAAAAAAAAAAAAAAAAAAACCAAGAACCTCACTGGCTTTAAGGAGTTTTGATGGGAGCCCCAGATAGCCATTCAGAGAGGGAGGCTGTGCCAGCCCACCTGTGCCGTCCGGCAGCCCGCAGACGTAGGTGGGCAGCATCCTGACCGTGGCCAGCGCGTGGCTCTTCTTCTTCAGCCCATACTCCAGCTCAGCCCGCATCTTGGCCTGCACATCCACGAGCTGCTCTCGAGTCAGCCGGAACAAAGCCAGCACCTTGTCAATCTGCTTCCGCTGGGCCTGCACGCGGGAGGCCACTGCGGTCACCATGGCGGCCCCCTTGGTGCTGCCACTCTCCGACAGGAGGAAGCGGACGTCACAGCTTGGGACCAGCTTCCTCACCACCTTATGCAGGCGTTTTGGGTACCTGAAGCAGGGGTGATGGCAAAACATTTAGTAATCATAAAGGCCAGGCTCGGGTACAGACCCAGGGGCAGCAGTGAACCCGGTCCCAGAGGGCCCTGCCCAGCCAGGGCACAGCCCTTTATTTGCTGATGGTAGGGAGGGCAGGGTGGACAGGAGGGAGGAACTAAGAAGCTGGGGCAGTGGAAGGCACTTGGGAGGCTCAGTGAAGAAGTGCCTATCAACCAACATTTCCACTAATCTGCGCATAAGGTATTGGCTGAACATCATTTCTGTCCTAAGGGAAGGATTTCCTTTCTCGGCTCTTTCCAGGGTATAACTACTTGACTTCCAAGTCTAACCCTGGTAGCCAAAGGGGCTTTCACTCTCTTTCCTTCTGGAAAATTCCCATTTCCCTGTGTTTTCCTACCAGGATCCTTCCATAATCTTGGCAACCTGTGCCATCTCTATTTTTCCCCATCTAGATGTATCTTACTCTTACTTTCTGGTCTTAACCACATAGTTGGTATTCAGTAAATAACGGAAGAATGAATGGGTAGATGAATGGACGGGTGATGGATGGATGGACATAGATACATGGATGGACAGCATTCCTAATTAGGCAACTGGCTTTAGCAGCAGCATATTTTTCTTTTTTCGTTGTTTTCTTGTTTTTTTGAGATGAGTCTCACTCTGTCACCCAGGCTGGAGTACAGTAGCGTGATCTTGGTTCACTGCAACCTCCCCCTCCCGGGTTCAAGCGATTTTTTTGCCTCAGCCTCCTGAGTAGCTGGGATTACAGGCGCGCACCACCATACCTGGCTAATTTGTGTATTTTTAGTAGAGACGGGGTTTCATCATGTTGGTCCAGGCTGGTCTCGAACTCCTGACTTCATGATCTGCCCACCTCAGCCTCCCAAAGTGCTGGGATTACAGGTGTGAGCCACCGCACCCGGCAGAATATTTCTTTAAGAGTGATCCCCAAAAGCAACCTAGGCAGCTAGATACATCTGGGCCCTGGATTCACCCTTTTCCTTATAATCTCAGAACCAACAAGAGAGGTGGATGGTTCCAGGCCCCAGAGAAGCAGTATAGTCCAGAAGACACTGGGGCCCTGCTCCAGGGAGACCCATCTGTGGGGGTGTCGCTGGCAGGCAGCACTCACTGAGGGTGGATCTTGTAGAGGGTGCCGTCCACGCCCACCGTGGTCCGCAGCCGTTCCACCCTCTTGTTCTCCTGGAGGCGCGTCAGGATGGCCGCCAGGGCTGCTGCACAGAGGTTGGCGGAGCGGAAGGAGACTATGGTGCAGACATGCTGGACGGCAACGCAGTCGGCCTCGGACGGCTCCAGGCCCAGATCCACCAGGATCTCTCTTGTATTGGCAAGGCCTTCTTTATACCTGGGCAGGGGACAGGAATGAGCAGACCACACTTCTCCATCCCATCAGTATCCTCCTGGGGAGACTAGGTTCCCCACCTCTCAGGATTGTGAAAATAAATAGGCTGGCCCATAGTAATAGAATAAAAATAACAATTATCAACATTGATAGTAGCAACCACCGCAAACTGAGCAGTCACCACGAGCTCAGGTTGTCTAAGGATTTGACGTGTATTAACTCCTTTAACTCTCACAAAAATCCTGCAGGAGGCACTGTCATTACCCTAGCATACAGATGAGAGATGTGAGGTGCAGACACAGTGAGTAACTTGTCCATGGATGCACAGCTAGTAAGGGCTAGAGACGGGATTTGAACTCAGCAGTTAGATCCTAGCACCCACATTTTTTTTTTCTCTGAGACAGAGTTTGGCTCTTGCTACCCAGGCTGAAGTGCAATGGTGCAATCTCAGCTCACCAAAACCTCCGCCTCCTGGGTGCAAGCGATTCTCCTGCCTGAGCCTCCCAAGTAGCTGGGATTACAGGCATGTACCACCACGCCTGGCTAATTTTGTATTTTTAGTAGAGATGGGGTTTTTCCATGTTTGTCAGGCTGGTCTCAAACTCCTGACCTCAGGTGGTGTGCCCGCCTTGGCCTCCCAAAGTGCTGGGATTACAGGCGTGAGCCACCGGGACTGGCTGCACCCACACTTTTTTAATCAGCCTGTGCAATGCTGACTTTCATGGAAATTCTGTCCCTGCCAAGTTCTGCATAGACATAGACACCGCGGGTCAGCGCCACATGGCTGAACTCAGAATCTAAACTGATCACAAAGTCAGGGCAATGCCAGTGTTTCTAAGCCTGAGGAGCAGGACCCTCAGATGTACTGGACAGCATTGTAGTCACGCTGGGGCCAGCGTCTTCACCTGCTGCCTTCACCAGCCAGCTCCCCCAGCAAGGGACCTGTGTGTAAGGCCTCAAGTCACCACATTCAAAGCCAGTCCCTGATGGGTGCAGATGAAGGCTCTGCCATCACAGGAGCTCTGGACTTGGATTCCACACATGGGCTTTGAGGATCCAGGGATGCCCTGATATTGTCAGCAAACTTGTGTGTGAATGTACATTTTTGGGGTTAAGGGTCTAGAACTTGAATAAAGTTCTCAAAAGGATCTGTGATCCTAAAATAGTTACAAGTTACCACTTTAAGAAGAAGGCAACAGAAATGGGAAGAGGGTAGCCCTCTGACAGCAGCGTCCCTTGCTGATGAAACCAACAAGAGCATCTCATCTGAGTCATGGCAGAAATTGCTAACCCATCTGAAGCCATGCCCAGGTCTGAAATCCTCTTGATGAAGGAAGAGGATCTGGTCCCTCCTGCTGTCCCACCATGCGGAGCACCCCACACCTGGGCCTCCCAGCCCAGCCCTCCACAGAGCCAAGGCAGAGGGGACCTGCTTACTTCTCCATGGCAGCTACGTGCCGTGTTTCAATCTTGCCCTTAGTGTGGAGAGCAGAGGATTTCTCACCGCCGAACAGGAGGCCAGCCTTGGCCATCTTCAGCAAGATGAGCCTGACAAGCTCCCCCAGGTACAGGCCACTGATCATCTTCTCGAACCTGCAGGTGGGTGAACAGATCAGTGGATGCAGCCCCCTTTGGTTTCGCAGCATCATTTCCTGAAGACCGGGAGCCACTGCCCGCAGCCAGGAGCAGGTGGGAGAGGGCTGAGCTAAGATTCCCTCCTGCTTACATAGTGCTGGATGGCAAGAACCTTTGTCTCAAATCACCCTGACCATGGGTGCCATTCAAGCATAGGGACTCTCAACTTCATAGACTTTGGGTATTTTCCCAAGATCACTCAAACATGATGTGACAAGTTGAATTTCATACTCAGATGCTTCCCACGCCTATATCAAGTCCCTGTCCAAGAGAGAAGATGCTGTGCCTGTGAGATGGGCTTGAACAGCCCCATAGAGGCTCTACAACAATGTGGATTTAAGATCCCCATGGCTGGCCGGGAGCGGTGGCTCACGCCTGTAATCCCAGCACTCTGGGAGGGAGAGGCAGGTGGATCACGAGGTCAGGATATGGAGACCATCCTGGCCAACATGGTGAAACCCCGTCTCTACTAAAATTAAAAAAAAAAAATAGCTGGATATGGTAGTGGGCACTTGTAATGCCAGCTGCTCAGGAGGCTGAGGCAGGAGAATGGCCTGAACCTGCAGACTGTCAAGAGACAGAGGCTGCAGTGACCAGAGATAGTGCCACTGCACTCCAGCCTGGGCAACAGAGTGAGACTCCATCTCAAAAAAAAAAAAAAAAAAAATCCCTACAGCTACCTACAGCTTTACTCTAGTCTGCACACCAACAATTCCTGCCTCCCAGGTAGACTGTTAATTATCATTATTATTACTAGAGACAGGGCCTCATTCTGTCACCCAGGCTAAAGCCCAGTGGTGCAATCATAGCTCACTGCAGCCTCGAACTCCCAGTCTCAAGTGATCCTCCTGACTCAGCCTCCCACAGGTATGTACGACCACACTTGGCTAATTTTTTTTTTTCTTTTTTTTTTTGTAGAGACGGGGTCTCATTATATTGCCCAGGCTGGTCTTAAACTCCTGGCCTCAAGTGTTTCTCCTGCCCTGGCCTCCCAGAGGACTGGGATTACAGATGAGAGCCACCGTACCAGGCCTAAATATGTTTATTCTCCAAACACAGTAAGACACAAAATCAGGGACAATCTATTTCATCATCTACCTTATATAGTTCACTATAAAAAGTCTTCAAGAAATAGAAGACAATCAACAGAAATTTAGGGTGGATGTCAGGGAATATAATATATATATTTTTTGAGATAGGGTCTTGCTCTGTTGCCCAGGCTGGAATGCAATGGTGTGATCATGGCTCACTGTGCCCTGGACCTCCCAGGCTCAAGTGATCCTCCCATCTCAGCCTCCCAGTTAGCTGGGACTACAGGCATGTGCCATCACACCTAACTACCCTTTTTTTTTTTAAATTTTTATGTTTGTAGAGACTGGTCTCACTATGTTTCCCAGGCTGGTCTCAAACTCCAGGACTCAAGCAGTCCTCCCGCCTCAGCCTCCCAAAGTGCTGGGATTATAGGTGTGAGCCACCATGCCCAGCAGGAACAGAATCTATTTTAAGTAAAATGGAAATGGGTGAAGATGATAAAATTAAAAAAAAAAAGTGGATGCTACGTCCTTGGGACATGACTGCTCTGGGTCACTAGAGCACAGGCATGTGCCTGGAGTAGGTGCCACCAAGGCGGAATGTGCTCCCCGGGTGTTCAGTTCTAGTGTTTGAATCGTTCCTAGGAGGTGCCTGAAATTCACCAGCATGTCTTGGCAAAATGGCTGATTCCAGGGTCAGGGCTAGGAAAGTGTGACATGAGCCTGGAACATCTTAGGGTGCCAGGAAATAAGGAAGTACTTAAAGAGTGATAGAATGCCCGGCACAGTGGCTCATGCCTGTAACCCCAGCACTTTGGGAGGCTGAATTGGGCGGACCACCTGAGGTCAGGAGTTTGAGACCTGCATGACTAACATGGAGAAACCCCGTCTCGACTAAAAATACAAAATTAGCCAGGTATAGTGGCCCACACTTGTAGTCCCAGCTACTTGGGAAGCTGAGACAGGAGAATTGCTTGAACCCGGAAGGCAGAGGTTGCAGTGAGCCGAGATCGCGCCACTGCATTCCAGCCTGGGCAACAAGAACGAAACTCTATCTCAAAAAAGAAAAAAAAAGAGTGATGGAACATGCCAAAAGCAACAGGAGCCAGCTTGAGGGGCTTCTTTGGCCAAATCGGAAAAAAATTTGAGCATGAAAATAAAAATGATGGACAGCGGCAGCCGTGCACAGTGGCTCACACCTGTAATCCCATCACTTTGGGAGGTGGAGGTGGGCGGATCACAAGGTCAGCAGATTGAGACCATCCTGGCCAACATGGTGAAACTCTGTCTCTACTAAAATACAAAAAATTAGCCAGGCATGGTGGTGGGCACCTGTAATCCCAGCTACTCTGGAGGTTGAGGCAGGAGAATCACTTGAACCCTGGAAGTGGAGGTTGCAGTGAGCTGAAATCACGCCACTGCACTCCAGCCTGGTGACAGAGCAAGACTCTGTCTCAAAACAAAACAAAACAAAACAAAACAAAATGGGGGACAGCAAACACGGAGGGAAGGCCCAGCCACCACCTGCTGAGTGATTAGGCCTCCGGGAAAGCAAGCTGGGGGCAGGGGGCATGGACATGCAAACATGAGGAATTCAGCTGCCCTGCCTTCTCCTTGCTGGCCAGGTTTGCTCTGCAGCCACCGTCCCAGTGCTCTAAGAGGGGAGGACCCGTGTCACCTGGTTCCCAGCCTTATCTTCAGCGCCTTTCACACACATATGTAACATAGAATTACTGACTCAATTAGAATTAGGGTTATGGCCGGGCACGGTGGCTCAAGCCTGTAATCCCAGCACTTTGGGAGGCTGAGGTGGGTGGATCACGAGGTCAAGAGATCGAGACCATCCTGGTCAACATGGTGAAACCCCGTCTCTACTAAAAATACAAAAAATTAGCTGGGCATGGTAGTGCGTGCCTGTAATCCCAGCTACTCAGGAGGCTGAGGCAGAAGAATTGCCTGAACCCAGGAGGCGGAGGTTGCAGTGAGCCGAGATCGCGCCATTGCACTCCAGCCTGGGTAACATGAGTGAAACTCCATCTCAAAAAAAAAAAAAAAAAAAGAATTAGGGTTATTAGGGTTGTGACTTAGGGAAATCTCTCAATGTCCTTGGCTTCAGTTTCCTCATTTGTCAAATGAAACTGAAATATAAGCCGCGCTTTAGAAGTTTGTTGCAGTGGGGCCAGGCGTGGTGGCTCATGCCTCTAATCCCAGCACTGTGGAAGGCCAAGCTGGGAGGATTGCCTGAGCTCAGGAGTGCAAAACCAGCCTACCCAACATGGCAAACCCCCAACTCTACAAAAATACAAAAATTAGCCGAGCATGGTGGCACATCCCTGTAGTTCTAGCTCCTCTGGAGACTGAGGTAGGAGGATTGCTTGAGCCTGGGAGGTGGAGGTTACTGTGAGCCAAAATCGTGCCAATGCACTCCAGCCTGGGCAACACAGTGAGACCACATCTCAAAAAAGAGGAAAGAAAAGAAAGAAAAGGAAAGAAAGAAAGAGGGAGGGAGGGAGGGAGGGAGGGAGGGGAGGAAGGAGGGAAGGAAGGAAGGAGGGAAGGAAAGAAGGAAGGAAGGAGGGAAGGAAGGAAGGAGGAAAGGAAGGAAGGAGGGAAGGAAGGAGGGAAGGAGGGAAGAAAGGAGGGAAGGAAGGAAGGAGGGAGGGAGGGAAAGAAGGAAGGAGGGAAGGAAGGAAAGAAGGGGGAAAGGAAGGAAGGAGGGAAAAAAGGAGGGAAGGAAGGAAGGAGGGAGAGAGGGAGGGAAAGAAGTAAGGAGGGAAGGAGGGAAGAAAGGAGGGAAGGAAGGAAGGAGGGAAGGAAGGAAGGAGGGAAGGAAGGAAGGAGGGAAGGAAAGGAGGGAGGGAGGGAGGGAGGGACGGAGGGAGGGAGGAAGGAAGGAAGGAAGGAAGAAAGGAAGGAAGGAAGGAAGGAACATAAGAAGAACAAACTTGTGGTGACGGATAGCTAGTCACAACTGGAGAGCCTCCCAGGTAGCCAGGGGACCTGAGTGATTGCACACTGCCTAGTGCCGGTGCCCAGATATCAGCAGCAGGGAACTCACAGTTGCTTTCCTGGGTTGAGAGAGCCAAGGTCCAGCTCCCTGTCGAACTCGGTGCGAATGTCCTCCAGGGCCCCGTCGTCCCCGAAGGCCCCCCACTCTGTGTTGATGCACATCCTGCCCTCGTCGCCCTCCACTAGGTCAATGTTGCTCATGTCCTCCATGTAACACGCATTGGTGCCCGTTCCTGAACCAGGGATCAGAGAGAATATGCAGAGAGGGCTGCCAGCTGGGCACAGACAGAGAACTCTTGACTGCTGGGGAGTCCTCCATGTCTCACAAAGTGCTTTTCATCCCCGGGGCGGGCTCTCGCTGGGGGAAGCAGCTTGGGCAAGCCCCAAGCACATGGGGAATACAGCTGACAAGTCAAGTCCGCACTTCTCAGAGTGCTCAGCGTTTGCAGTTCTGAATGGAGTCAATTGTGAGGAAGTCCCCTGATAAATATGGATGAAAGCTGACGAAGCGCTCTTACAAGAGGATGATAAATGAAGCTAATCTTGTAAATATATATATTTTTTAGATCACCAACCCAGGGTAATTTTGAAAATTCTTTGCCTTAGCTACTTAGCTTTGCTCTATTTGATACGGAAAATATTCTTTACTTATAGCCTGCCACAAATTGTTTCTAGCAGAAGCCGCATCTGTATCTTAGACGGTGATTAGCTATCACCTAAGAAAGCAACACTCCATGATGCAAACACAAAATCACTCCCAGGAAATGCCTCAAACACTTGAGCGCTGGGGAATGACTACAGATGGGCACCATCTTTTTGGAATCTTTTGGGAGGATGGAAAAGCTCTAAAATCAGATTGCAGTAATGGTTACAAAACTGTACATTTACTAAAAGTCATTGAATCGTGCACCTAAAATGAGAGGACTTTTATGCCTCAATAAAGCTGTTTGAATTTTTTTTTTTTTTTTTTTTAGGATCTTCCCTTGGCTGATACTCTGGTGTGAGTATTTTAAATGCCAACATGGAAAATGAGAAATGTTGAAAAGCAGAGTGTGATATTTGGAAAAAGCTTTTCTCAGAAATGCACGGACACTGTTTAGGCGTGCCCCCCAATCTGTGGTTACCAGACGCAGTCACAAGGACAGACGGGTGCCATGACTGGCAAGGGCCTGATCCATTTTGAGGCTCCTGGAAACGGTCAGGCAGATGGAGCCCGTCAGCTTTAAAGAGCTGCCCTTCGGGAAAGCCAGGCTGAGGAAAGTCTTGTGGGACAGTAAGGAAAAGCAATAATGGGAAAAGGAGAAGGGGACATTCAAGAACGACCTATAAGTCAGAGCTGTTCTGCCTTACTGTACCCCAAACTGCCTTCCCACACATTCGTCCAGCAGACCCCGCAGCTCTGATGTGGAGACCACCCGCAGGACACCCCTACTGCACCACGACTGCCCTGGTCCAGGCTGCACTGCACCCCGCCTGACAGTCCAGTGGTCTCTTGGCTGGTCACCCTGCTTCCACTCTTGTCCCCCATCATCGATTATCCACACAGCAGCCAAAATGGGCTTTTTAAAAAATGCACACCTGGCAGGGTGCGGTGGCTCACACCTGGCAGGGTGCGGTAGCTCACGCCTGTAATCCCAGCACTTTGGGAGGACAAGGCAGGAGGATCACCTGAGGTCAGGAGTTCGAGACCACCATGACCAACATGAAGAAACCCTGTCTCCACTAAAAATACAAAAATTAGCCGGGCATGGTGGTTCATGCCTGTAATCCCAGCTACTCAGGAGGCTAAGGCAGGAGAATTGCTTGAACCCAGGAGATGGAGGTTGCGGTGAGCTGAGATCATGCCACTGCACTCTAGCCTGGGCGACAGGGCAGGACTCCATCTCAAAAAAAAGGGTATCCATTTAGCCATCCCCCACCCAGAGGTCTTCAGTGCCTTCCAATATCCCTCAGGGGATAAGCCAGTGACCTTACAATGACTGTGTCCACGTCCTGTGCAATGTGCCCAGTCCATCCACCCCCTCTCACTTGAATGACCTCCGACTCTCAGCCTTCACTCACCTCATCCAGACAGCACTCAGCTGTAGGGTTTCCCCGGTCCCCCCACTCTGCCCTGGACCCCTTCCCATCTCCAACCTATAGGTGTCCTTTCCTTTGCAAGGGACTCCCTCCCCTGCACCCTCACCTAGCTCCCTGGTTTGCATCATTGACGTCCCAGCTCAAATGACACCCCTCGGAGAGGCTTCCCTGACCCCCGGTCCCACTCACAGTCACATCACCCTCTTTGTGTTTTTTATCATGCTAGCCACCACCTGAAATTACCTTAGCAGTTTAGGCCTCCTGGCCTCTCACCACCTCCCCACTGAAAGCTTCAGGAACACAGGAACTGCCAACTTCGAACCTGGCACCAAGCCCAGGGCCCAGCACCCAATGGATGGGCACTCAGTAAACACTTGTTAAATGGATGAATGAATATGCATAAATGAATGAATGAATGAATGAATGAATTTTTCATGTCCCTATGTTGCTTCTCCTAAATAGTGTCAGTGCCCTTCCCACCAAATTCACTCAGAGTTTGCTAAAATGAAATCCCCGAACAGCCCCTTCTCCCTCACTCTCAAAAAACCCAGTCCAACTGAGTTACCGATGATGACACCAACTTCGCAGTGGGGGTCGTCATAGGCACAGGTCATCATGGTCCCCACGGTGTCATTGACCAGGGCCAGGATGTCCACGTCCATGTCCTGCTGAACACAAGGCAGAGGCCATCAGCGGGTGGGAAGGAGGTGTTCCCTCCATTCATCCCACATAGGCAGCAGTGAAGGTGGCTGCTGAGACACCCCTAGATCCTGTCTGTGGGGCCGCCTGGAGGAGCAAGGCCTTGTCAAGGTTCAGGGTCTAGGGGAGAGAAAGAGCCGTGGGGAGCTGAAGAGAGAACCCCGCCCTCCTGCTTTGCCAGTGAAGGCCTCTATGCAATGGAAATATGAGGGACAAACCACCAGGACTCCAGCCCTTGCTTTATGGGTTTTTTGGGGTGTTTTGTTTGTTTTTGAAATGCAGTCTCACTCTGTTGCCCAGATTAGAGTACAATGGCTCAATCTTGGCTCACTGCAACCTCTGCCTCCCGGGTTCAAGCACTTCTCCAGACTCAGTCTCCTGAGCACCTGGGATTACAGGCACACGCCACCACACCTGGCTAATTTTTGTAATTTTAGTAGGGATGGGTTTCACCATGTTGGTCAGGCTGGTCTCGAACTCCTGACCTCAGGTGATCCACCCGCCTTGGCCTCCCAAAGTGCTGGGATTACAGGCGTGAGCCACTGTACTCAGCCTCTTTTAATTAAAAAAAATTTTTTAAATTTACAGATAGGGTATCAGTATGCTGCCCAGGCTAGAGCGTGATGGCCGTTCACAAGTACAAACACAGCACAGCACAGCCTCGAACTCCTGGGCTCAATTGATCCTCCTGCCTCAGCCTTCTGGAAGTTGAGGTCCTACAACTTTCAGCCTTTCTGGGACCATGGGAAGACACAAAGGAAAGCATGTTTATCCTGGGAGAAGTGGCATTTCCAAGGGAAAACACCACGTGAGAAGTCCTCGCCCACGGGGACATCTCAGCCAGCAGGCACAGCCTCAGCCAAGTCCTCGCCGTGTGTGGCACGGTGACTTCCTGTGTGGATTTCCTGTTCCACCATGTCAGCTTGAGCTACTGCACTAACATCCCCCAAGGTTTGGAAGAACATTTTAAAGCGAAATGAGAGCCGGGCATGTGGCTTATGCCTATAGTCCCAGCTATGCAGGAGGCTGAGGTGGGAGGATCATTTGAGCCCAGCAATTCAAGGATGGAGTGCCAGGCACTGCCAGCCTGGGAAGCACAGCAGGACCTCATCTCTAAAAAAAATAAAGTAAAATGAAAACAACAAGGGAAAACACAGACTGTAAAAAAAAATAAGATCCCAGCTTTAAAGAAAAAAAAAACACTGGAAGGGCATGCAGTAAAATATGTCTCTTGCTGCCAGGGTAACAAGCAATTTGGGTTTATTTGTGTACTTTTCAGCTCAGCAAGGAGTGGCCCTTGTTTCTGCTAATTTAAATTATTGTAAAATACATTCAACAAATGGGGATTTGTTTTGTTTTTTTTTTTTGAGATGGAGTTTCACTCTGTCACCCAGTCTGGAGTGCAATGGCATGATCTCGGCTCACTGCAATCAAGCCTCCCAGGTTCAAGCGATTCTCCTGCCTCAGCCTCCCAAATAGCTGAGATTACAGGCACCTGCCACTATGCCTAGCTAATTTTTGTAGTTTTTAGTAGAGATGGGGTTTCACCATGTTGTTCAGGCAGGTCTTGAACTCCTGGCCTTAGGTGATCCTCTTGCCTTGGCCTCTCAAAGTGCTGGGATTACAGGCGTGAGCCACCATGCCCAGCTAATCGGGATATTTAATGGACAGAGAGTGGAAAGTGAAATAGAGAACCAGCCCGGAAAGAAAACGATCTTTTCAGCCTCAGAGAGGAGGGTGTGCGAGGCATACACACAGCACCAGATCTAACCCAGTCCTCCGGAGAGGGCTGTGGCTGCTGGGGAGGCCCAGGGAGGAGCTGGCCGCCTTTCAACTGGGATTGCTGCAAACCCCGCCTACCAAGGCTCTGGGGGTTCATCCAAGTTGGCCACATCTGTACTACAGTGGGACTTTCCCTGACACCAATTCCTTCTCTGAGTCTCCCTCCACGCAGGCACCATATGGGGGCCCCTCACCCCACCCCCACCCCCACCCCCACCAACCCAAGAGAAAGGAGCTGGGGCTGGGAGAGCCTCCCACACCGAGGCAAATTCCTCACCTTGTGTCTTCTCATGGCTTTGGTCAGACGGCTCACCACATCTGTGTCCTGAACTCCTCTCGCTTTAAACTTCTTTGTCCATGAAATCAGGACACCCTGTGAGAAGATTTCAGGTCCAGTCTGAATGAAGGAGGTGGTGAGATGTGCAGCTGAGCTGCAGAAACTCACCCTACATGCATCCCTCGAGGCCTTCCTTTCCCTAAGCTGAATCACCCAGCTTTTTAAAACATTGCTTCCACAGCCTTTTCTAATAATGTAAATGACTGTATTACTCTCACCTGAGTCGTTTGAAATATATGGTAGAAGGAGCAATTACTGAAAAGTCAGAGCTCTTGGATTCATGAGACACTAGACAAGTCATTTAACCTCTGTGATCCTCAGTCTACTCCTCTGCAAAATGGGAATGTTATCTCCCTGCCTCTCTCAAAGAAATGCGCTAATGAAAATATGTAGTGGGCCGGGCGCAGTGGCTCACACCTGCAATCCCAGCACTTTGGGAGTCTGAGGCAGGTGGATCACAAGCCAGGAGTTCGAGACCAGCCTCGCCAATATAGTGAAACCCCGTCTCTACTAAAAATACAAAAATTAGCTGGGCATGATAGTGGGGGCCTGTAATTCCAGCTACTTGGGAGGCTGAGGCAGGAGAATCACATAAACCTGGGAGGTAGAGGTTGCTGAGATCACACCACTGCACTCTAGCCCAGGTGACAGTGCCAGACTTCGTCTCAAAAAAATAAGAAAAGAAAAAGAAAATACCTGGTGGGCCAAGCACGGTGGCTCACACCTGTAATCCCAACACTCCAGCACTTTGGGAGGCCAAGGCAGGTGGATCACAAGGTCAGGATTTCGAGACTAGCCTGACCAACATGGTGAAACCCCATCTCTACTAAAAATACAAAAATTATCAGGCATGGTGGCGTGCGCCTGTAATTCTGGCTACTCAGGAGGCTGAGGCAGGAAAATCCCTTGAACTCGGGAGGCGGAGGTTGCAGTGAGCAGGGATCGTGCCACTGCACTCCAGCCTGGGTGACAGAGTGAGACTCCATCTCAAAAGAAAGAAAGAAAGGTGGGGGGGGGAGA